GATGATCAAATTATTGTTGTCTGCCCCTTCCCCCCCACTCTTCCCCCTCTGGAAATTTCTATTTTTTTAAAAATATTTTTTTGAGAGGAGGGGGGTAACACTCCAAAGAGCCATTCCCTTGTTTATTTGGAATAGTTTCATAAATCTAAACATAGTGTCTTCAATTGTTTTTGTTATTTTTATGTCAACTTTTGAATTAATTGATATAAGGTTTATTGAGAAAGTTCAAAGCAATACTGTGATGGTAGAACAATATTGCATTTCTACAAGAATACATGTGTTTGAATGTGTATGGTTGTCAAGCCCACATTGCAGTCATACTTTAGCTGGATGTATTTATTTTTTTTTAACATCGCTGTGTTTCTATTTTAGAGTCTGGAGATGACACAAGATCATGGGCTCCTCCATTTTGTGAGAATGAAAGCACATATTTCCTCTCTATAAACAGAAACAAGAAGGTATTTGCCAGCTATCTCACTTCTTATTTCTATAAAAAAGACAATAAATCAGGAATGGGGCTATTTCTGAACTTGAAATAATTTTTTTTCTATTCACATTACTTCATTAGGTCAAAGACTTATCTTATCTTGTTCATTAATGACTGCCACTAAGGGATGTATTCAAGCAACCCACATCACTCAACCCAAGATATGATAGTGCAGGTCTATTGGGCATTAAAAAAGAAAACTTAATGATTCTTGCACTTGCCTTCCTAAATTGCAACACTTTTTTCTTATTTAAACTTCTAGAGCATTGCTGTAAACATCAAGGATCCCAAAGGTACAGAAATTGTCAGAAAGGTACACAAAGAGAGACTCAACTGCATACGGTCACTCAGTAAATTGACTGGTAATTAATGCAGATTCAGGCTTAGTAACATTTAATCTGATTGTGTACATTTAAAGTTCCTTCTCATCTTATTGACAGATGCCGTGAACATTTTGAGGGCGATTATTTTTCTTTGCTTAGCCTTTTGTGGGCAATCAGTTTCTAAGGACGAAAGAAAAAATGGAGTGAGTGAGAAAATGAAGGAGAGAGACTAAGGAGACTGGCAAACTTTTGTTACTCCTACCCAGACCCTTGCTGCTTACACCTTACTTACTTTTTTAATAATCTCTGTTGACAAAGAGTCAGGCTCAGGGGCTTACAGGGTCTTCCAGTCTTCCAGTGGTTCCAGAAATCACCCTTTGTGTTATTTCAAACTTTTTTGTCTCTCCCCTTAAGTGTACATAAATCTTATGCATGTGAGGAGGATTTTCAGCCTTAATTGACTATCCAGCATGTTATGCTCTCTGCTATCTGTTTGAAAAAACATAACATTAAATCTTATTTACTTGACAGCTTGCTTCAAAGTGCGATGTTCTGGTAGAAAATTACTTACCTGGAAAACTGGACAAAGTGGGTTTAGGATATGATCAGCTGAAGACATCAGCACCTTCCTTGATATATTGTTCAATAACAGGATTTGGTCGTGGGGGACCTTATGATCAGAGGCCAGGATATGACGTCATGGTGTCAGGTATTGGGGGACTGATGCACATAACGGGCCCTGAGGTACCTTGAACACCCTAAAGCTGGTCATGTGAAACTCAAGGCAGAGACATGCTGTGAAACAAGTCACTGTGCCAGTCTTAAGTCAAATTTTAGCACAGAGTCATCTCATGTGAAGTAGGAAGATTCAGTGAAAATCATCATCATTAATCATCAGAACAGAACAATAAAATTTCCTTTTCCACACAAATTGACCATAGCTGGAACATGTCACTGTGCCTTGTATGGAGTGTTTTTTTAGGAGATACATGTCACTGTGACTTTTTCCTGAGTGTGTTGCAGCCTTCATGCTTCAGACTAAATGCATTATAACTATTTTCTTTCTTTATTTGCAAAAATTGGCAAATAAACATCATTGGCAAACATGGCTTAAAATTTCCCTACTGTTACTCTCCTTTTAGGACAGTGATCCTTGTAAGGTTGGCATTGCAGTAACAGACATAACTACAGGACTGTATGCACATGGAGCCATAATGGCTGCACTTCTTCAGAAACAAACAACTGGACTGGGACAGAAAATAGATTGCTCCTTGCTGGCATCACAGGTACACAGTGACAAGTGATAAAATTGTGAGACATAGTTTGATGCTACACTGGTTTGCAGATTTAATGAATGTAACTGAAGAAGTTACAATTCATAGACCCAACGTTTCGACACTCCTGTCTAGTGCCTTCATCAGGGGTGATCTAAACGCTGCAACAAGAGGTCCTTTTATATGATCACTAATTAGCGGCCTTTTTTCTGACGAGGTGTAAATAAGCTTCAGGAAACAGACCGCCATCGTCACGATTTAAAGGAGCATGGGCAGAGTTAATGTGCCAAGCCTCCAAACAAAGGCGCTGGTGGTAACACCGATTAGTGGTGATAAAAGTGTCAAAACGTTGGGTCTATGAATTGTAACTTCTTCGGTTACATTCATTAAATCTGCAAACCAGTGTAGCATCAAACTATGTCTGATTGTCCACCTGGTTGCCGTGTGAACTTTAATATATTTGATAAAATTGTGTTTTGTAAATCTATGTGACTGACAGTATCTTTATCATATTTCTGCCCATGATGTAGATAGCTATGCTTAGCCATGTTGGGACAAGTTACCTCAATGCTGGGTTTGAGACTGGACGCTATGGGACTGCCCACCACAGTATTGTCCCATACCAGGTAAGAAAATAAATATGCATCACTTGCAGAGAGTTATTTTTCATGCCATTATAGAAGGTAGCAAAGGCTCATGATATATGCATCATATTAGCTTTTAAGATGAGACATTTAAGTCTATAACTGCAGCTGCAATAACTTTGATCAGTATCAAGAGTGGGAATAGAGGCACTTGTAGGGTTGGGTGAGGAGTATCGGCCTCTTCTCTCATGTCCTGACTTTATTAGCTTTTCTCCTAATTAATTAATACTGACCTTCCCTTATTCTCTTGAGGCTTTCAAAACTTGTGATGGACACTTCCTTGTAGGAGCTGGAAATGATGGATTGTTTAGGAAACTTTGCAAAGTAAGCTGAATGTTTTGTTTGTCTATTTAAATGTTTTGCTTTCACCTTTTTTAATGACTAATGATATTTATCTCTTAGAAAAGAAACACTCATGGCAAATTCTTTTTTAAAAAATGTAGATGCTTCCTAACAGAAAAATCTGTGTTAATCTGTATTGGTATTTCAAAAAATTCCTGATTCCACTTTTGGTGATTTAGTTATTAGGTTTAGACAACTTGGCTGATGACCCATTATATGCTACAAATGCAGCCCGAGTCGAAAATCGTCACAAGTTGCTTCCCTTGCTAAAAGAATGGTAAGTTTGTTGTGATAGCCAGACCTAAGGGGGAGGGTGTGGAAGAGGAAATTCTTGTGTTTGGAGCCCAAGATCTTACTGACCTCTGTTAACTAAATAGTTGTCGTTGATCAATGTCGGTATCTGTTGGCACCTACCCCTCCCCTAACCAAATAACAGTCGACTGATATCAAGTTAGGGTTGATAGTGGGTTAGAGGAGGGTGGGTGTGCAGTTGCTCAGATACTGACATTGTTCTGTTGTTGTCATGCAACTGGCAAGTGCTCTTCCATTAAGTATCATTGAATAACACCGTAAAGAAATGGAAACTCTGAGTCTCGATACATGTTAACTGCCCTTAATTTAATGCATGAAAACGCAAGTGATTGGTGAAAAGGTCTTGCATTTTCTAGACCAATCCTGTTGTCATTCAATGACAGGAAGTAACTGTATTATCTCCTTCACTCCATTGGAATTTAGGATATTATTCAACGTTACTTGTTTGTGTTAAGTTTTCAGCAACGAGGAACAAAGGAATGGGCCAAGGCGTTTGAGGGATCTGGCATTCCTTGCGGACCAATTAATAATATAAAAGCAGTGTTTGAAGATCCACAGGTACAGTAAAGAAATGGTATGCAAGGTTCTTAATAACTGTAAAAAGCGTGTAATACTCAGTTGGAGGAAGTGACCATGTCAAACGTATATTTTTTTCAGGTGAAATACAAAAAAATGGTGCAAGAGTTAGAACATCCCACGGCAGGAAAGATTCGGATACCAGGTTACTAAGCTTTTTCAGTATTTTATTTTTATAGTTAGAGGTTATTTGGGTGACTACACAGTGCTCCAAAAACTATTGCCTAACCACTCAAGTAACAAGCTCTTTAGAGTGTCATGGAGTGACAACGGCTCAATAGATTTGGCTGATATTCTTGACGAATAATTATTATAATTTTCTTATAATTTTTTACGAGTGTGTGTTTTTTTATTTTATTTTGCTTTCAGGACCCGCTGTGGAGTACAACGGACAAACCTGTCAGGGGCTCCCTAGGGCACCTCCTTTGTTAGGACAACATACACATGAAATTTTAACAAATCTTCTTGAATACAGTAACAAGGAGATTTCTACTCTTGAGCATGATGGAATCATAGAATGTCACCTTCAAAAATAATTCTAATAAACTAATTTGGCAATTTAAATTCTGACAATCAGTACTGTAGTACACAATAAATTTTGATCACAGTAAAGCCTAAGTACTGTTACAAGTCCGCATATTCAGCTCCAAAATTGATGTGCTATTAATTTAATTTCAATAGAATGATTTCTTTTTACCCTTGTGTTTTAAACAGAGGTAATTTTGCCACAAATTTGCTAGCAATTAAATTATGTATTACAAAAATCTTTCCTTTGTTTTAGAGCCTAAATTTTTTGGCAAAATTTTAGGACGTCCGGTTGAATCCTGAAAGCGTTGTTCCATTTGTCAAAGTTCAAAGTGTGATTTTCAACGTCTGGCCAAACTGATGTTAACTCACACTCCCCACCCCCACCCTTATAGAGCACATTTGGATTGACTGTCGTAAAACAAACCAAAAATAATCACAACAGCCGATCAGAGCGAAGGAATATATCACAAAAAGCCAATAAGAATTCAATATAAAAACAAACTGCTCATAGTGCGGAAAACGGAGGTCTCTAAGTCACGATTGGTTTCAGTCTCGAGTCTGATTAGTTGAGAAAGTCGTGCAAGTTTTCTGACCAACTATGAAGCGAAGTAAAACAAATAAAAGCAACTTCGGATTACTTCGAAGCTCAATGAAAAATGAACCGGTCGAAATTTATCGGTTTGTCAGGATCGGTCAATATGCTATCTAAATTCATCCACATGAATGCAGAGCGGAACTTCAGGTCGTCTTGCCCGTTTTTCTTTTCTCCTAAAAGACACCAAAAAAACTGAATATGTCAGAATGGCGAAATATCAGAGTAGAGCGCTTTTTGACTGTGTCGTTAAATCAAAACCAAAGTAATCTCATCAGCTAATCGGAAGAAAGGAAAATACCTCTTAGAGTCGGGAAAAGGCGGGAAAACGCGGGCGACCGACTCGTGATTGGTCAGTTTTGCATTTGATTGGTTGGGAGAATGGCTCGGATGTTTTGGACCAATCACAGAGCGAAGTAAAGTATAACCAATGCAATCTCGGATTATTTTCGACACAATTGAAAATTGCATTAAACGTCAAGAAATAAAATTCTGTCTACCTCATCTTTTTCTCCTCCTCTTCCCTTTTAAGTTTTTCTTTTCCTTCATCATCTGCTGGTGTACTGAAATCATCATTGTCTTCCGAATCGGATTGGCAATTCTTTGAGATTTCGAAAAACAAAAACAGTCGAATAAGGAAGTTAAGTAAAGTATATAATACCTAACTGGTAACAGTCGAATATTGGCGTTTTTCGTAAACGTTCATGGGTTAAGAAGTAATCGTGCTTTTTGAGGAGGAACTTGTGGTATAGATTTTTCATCATAATACTAACCCTACAAGACACTACAAGTCGCTATAACGCTGGCAAAACTTACAAAGACCAAGGGAGTATGACAGCGGACCCTCAGAACGAGCTTGAACTTTTCAGTGTGACTAAAACAATAACATTACCTTGACACCAATAACATCTCCATCTTGAAGATAAACAGGAGACTGTCGCAAATTGATTTTCTTTTTCCGACCCTTTTTCTTGTTCTGTTGAAAAAGAATGAAATAAGTATTGTAAATTTAAGACTTGACACGGATTTCCTGAGAAAACAACGATTGCATGGTAGAACACTTTTGTGCAGGAGTGGAGCTGACTGGGTTTTTTCATATTCTTTGTATTTGACACTGTGATAGCTATATGTCTCTTGGTGCAGTTGTGACAGAGAGGACGCTGTAATATCTGTAATACAGGAAACGTAAACTTGAAAAGTGAATTTACCTGAGTTCCATCGGTGTCTTTGATGACCAACCATTCATATTTGGCTCTGAGATATTTGGCCACATTAAGTTTTTCAAGAGGAATATCACAAACTTTGCCCACAAAGTAATGTAAGGCCTCGGGCGTAGCACCTCCTGGCGGCTCAAATATTACCTTAAAGACAGAAAATAGTATTTATACAACATCAAATATCAAAACCAGAGCCAATGCTTCTGTCGCCTCTGACATTAAACTGCAATTCAATGAAGATTGGCTCCGAAACTCAGGTGCGAGATTTTTGAACCAATGGCAACGTCTATTTACTATGACCAATCACTACAGGCGTTAAGTCCACCATCAACAAGTGAGAACTGGAGGAAAGAACATTGTGCATGCAAAACACAACGAGCGCGGGAAAATATATGTGATAATTCTGGTGGTGCGAGTTTTCAAACCCAACCGTACGAAAGAAAATAAAAAAATTAAGGAAAAAAAGGGTTACGATAGCCTAGTTAGAAGTATCAATGCACCATGGCAGCTAAATTACCTCTTGTTCATCATAGTAACACCTCTCTCGTGGCATCCTTTTCTTTAGTCTCAACAGCACTGCAGAAGAACTTACATAAAAATTTCACAGAATGAATATCGCTTAGACCAGCAATCCATTAACATTAACTGTTAGACAAAAATGGAAACATCGGTGGTACGTTACGAGATTGTTTTGCAAATCGCACCTTTGAATCTGGAAAGGACATGAAGCGGTATATTTCTTACTAACCTTAAATCTTCCTTGTGTTGAAGAACACACACAGAAAGCTGAGTAGATGAGGTCAGTTTTAGCTGCCTGAAATAGCAATATACCAGTTTGCTCTGAAGAATCGCGACTATTTGACTATTATCACGAGGAGCCGATGAGGAATCAAAGTAAATCTTATTGGGTCAAAGAATCGCACGAGTTTTCTACACAAATCAAATCTCGTTGTGAATTATTTTCGAAACATGATTGAAACCTGCTCTTATAATAAACAAAGAGATTGTCTAACCTCAATGTTTGATTTGTTCCTCTAAGAACTCGTGTTGCGTGATTGTCCACGACTTCCTGAAGTCTGACAAATAAAGGTGTCGGGATCACGTGATCTGATAGCTGCAAAGGAAGACGATGAACAACTCCAAAAGTGTTTTTGTTACTTATTTCACAGTTATGAGGAGACGCCTTAATTGCCATTTTCGCAGATTCAGAAAAGCTTTTTTTGATTATTAGTTCCCTGGAATCATCATGTTCTGACTTAACTGTGTCTGATACTTTGGACCAACGTCAGCATCTCAGCAACTGCGCACTTACCCCTCCCCTAGCCCGACAATAGTCAACTGATAACAAGTTAAGGTTAGTGTTGGATTAGCGGAGGGGTAGTTGAGCAGTTGCTCCGATACTGACTTTTACTTTAATTGACTTTTAATTTTATTCGCAAATTCAAGGCAAATTGGTCAGCGGAGACTAACTTGGCTGTTATTCGTGTACGTATTATGGCCTATTAATGGTAAACATTCGACTTTCAAGAGGTTTGGCAATCAAAGAGCAGTTTTTTTAAAAAGAAAGAAGGATAACAAAGTATGAATACAGACGCTATTGGTAAGACTGAAACTGTTGCATAGCTGAGAAAGACTTTAGTACCAACCTGCGGCATGTGACTTATTTGCAGCTTTAGATCATACAGTGAAGATTCCTTGGATATCTCCACATCACCCAAAGGTTCCAATGAATCGCTACCCTGATAAAAATCAAACTATGATTTATTACGTTACAACGGTTCTTGGCCGTCGTCCTTAGGAATTGAGGGATTCTAGATTATATATGGGACAACGAATGAATTGTCTCGTCAACTACCCACTCACTCATTTATCCGTCGGTTTATCTTTCAGTTTGTCAGTTGGTCTGTCCGTTAGTCTGCCTATTTATCTGTTTGTTGGCCAGTTTGTCTTCCTGTCTCCGTCTGTTGACTGGCCGGTCTGTCTGTCTGTTGGCTGATCGGTTAATTGCTATCTGTTTGTGAGCTGATCATTGTGTCAGTCTGTCTGTCTTTTTGTTAGACAGTCTGTCTGTTCCAGTGTCTGATGGCCGCTCAGTCTGTATGCCTGTTGTCTAATTGGTCTGTGGGTTTGTCTGACTGTCTGTCTACTGGTTGGTCGGTTTGTCTGTCTATTGGTGAGTGGGCCTGTGAGTCCGTCTGTCAGCTGACGAATCAGTTGGTCTCTCTCCCTGCCTGCGTCTTAACCGGTCTGCCTTAAGTTACACTGTGTCCAACATTTGTGCATTGACATGGGACAATTGTCCCCTTTAAAGAAATTCATACACAAACAAATAAACAACAAATTTGCAATAAATATTCCTACCTTTGCGTTGTCATCATTCCCTGAAGTCTCCACCGTGGATGAACCAAGGAGACCTTAGAGTGAAAAAGTAGTGTGTTAATTTTCAAGGAAGAAATCAATTTTACGGTCACCATCTTACCTTGTACACCAGATGTAATCCAGTTTAGAACTCCTCCAAAATGTTGGTTTTTCGCCTTCCCACTGTTTGTTTGCCATAAATTAAGACGAATGAACCCCTGTCAGGAACAGATAGTAAGGAAAAGTTATTTATGACACAAAAAGAACTGCCTCTTACACGAAATGACAGCAAAATGCGTTTGAAGTACATATGGTTTATTTTAATCTTAACCTTTGGAGGAAGCCTTCCCTCTTCAACGATAAGAGTGTCGCCATTTTTAATGTTTTTATTCTCCAGCGTTTCTTCCTGTAAAGAAAGTTAGAATTTGGAATCTCAACTATCGGCTCGGAATTCATTTATAAAACTTTTACACCTTAACATCAGTGTGTAAACTCTTCACACTTTTCTCTATACATTTCCTAAGGTGCTGACAAGGAGAATTTTTTAAAAAATCAAGAACTACTACTTAGAGGTCATTCTCTTAAATCTCGTGTCCTTAATGTGTGATTCAGGGGCGAATGTAAAGGACGCATGCACAATTGAATTAAATTATACGAATTTACGGGTTCTTTTATACGATGAATTGAGTCTGAGTGAAGTTCAATGTGAGTTTTTTGTAAACAGAGCTTCGATAAGGAGGACTTCTCACCTCGTTGTCTAACAGGTCAGTTGGTTCACCGATCCAGTTAGTTTTTCTTAAATGCCAGCTCATCCCTACCAAAGCAGTACACAGAAGCAAAGAAACAAAGAAATATTTTGGCAAAATGTTGATTAGAGCAAGGGTTAGGTAATCACCAGTAGACTCACATTCCAAAAAGGAACTTAATAGGTCAACAGAAACTCAATGTTTTCTGAAACCCAGAACATGGAGTTTTAACAATAACGTAATTCAGCAGCTTTCTACCGGGTGTCGAAAAACCGAAACCAAAGTTATCACAGCCACCAATCAAAACACAATTGAATATCACTACCAGCCAATGAGGATTCTGAGTGAAAACAAACAAACTGCTTGAAGCGCGGGAAAACGGGAGTCACAACCAGGCGCGATTGTTTTTACTTTTGCATTTGATTGGTTGAGAGGGCAGCGTGAGTTTTCTGAATCAATCACAGAGCAAAGTAAACTAAAGCCAAAGTAATCCCGGATTACTTTAAACCCTCAACTGAAATTGCTCCAAGCTAGCCGGTGGTTTGCGTGATACAGAAGTCGGGAAAAACAAAACGAATACACTAACCTTGCAGGTTGGAGT